TAATTCTGAACAATCTTGGCCTCATATTATCATGAATATGCAAATTAGAGGAAAACCCACATAATATGAGGACACAGATAAAAGCATTTCATTTAAGAACTTTTGGAATATTATTCCATCATTAGCCAAAAGTTAGAAATCAGATGTTACTGATAAAGGATGGAGGCTGGGGTTTATAGTATATTTAAGTTCAATTCCCAATATAAATGTGGCTATTCAAGGGTTTTCAGTTTTTTGTTTGTATTTTGGTGGTACTAGGGATTGAATCCAAAGGCACTCTAACACTGAGCCACACCCCCAGTCCTTTTTAATTTTGAGACAAGGTCTCACTAAATTTCCAAGACTGGTCTAGAACTTGCTATCCTGCTGCTTAGCTGGGATTACAGGCATGTGCCACCTCACCTGTCAGGTTTTCAGTTTTTTATCTCAAAAAATGTTCATTTTTATAACTGTTTTCCTCTGATATAAATTTCTATTTCCATCCTTTCAAGAGAAACTAAAAATTTAAAAGCATATAATATTTCATGCAACACTGAGTTGAGAGGTGTAGCTCAGTGGTAGAGCACATGCTCAGCACATATGAAGCCTCAAATTCAATCCCAGACACTCAATTGACAGTGACTGCAGCTGGGAGTGGTAGTACATTCCTGTAATCCCAGTGGCTCGGGAGGTGGAGGGAGGGAGGAGGATCCCAAATTCCAAGATAGCTTCAGCAACTTAGTGGGGCCCTAAGCAACTTAGTGAGACCCTGTCCAAAAAAAATAAAGAAAAAAAAAGATTTCATACTTTTTTTTTTATTTTGGCACTTAACCACTGAGTCACATCCTCAGCCCTTTATGTTTTTTTATTTAGAGACAGGGTCTTGCTTAGGGCCTCGATAAATTTCTGAGGCTGGCTTTGATTAATAATCCTCCTGCCTCAGCCTCCCAAGCCAAAGGGATTATAGGTGATTTCATGCAATTTTAATGACTTGAAGATATCTGGTTTCACACAATGAAGAACAAAATTATTTTAATTCTACTAAATGAAGCTAACTTATTCTGATTATTATAAAGTATGCATATTACTTTTCATATATCCATAGGCTAGAAAAAAATAGTGTAGAAACAGGATTTGGGAGGGGGGGGTTGGGGGGAGTTACTGGGGCTTGAGGTTAGGGGCACTTAACCACTGAGTCACATCCCCAGCCCTTTTTATATTTTATTTAAAAACAGGGTCTCACTAAGTTGCTTAGGGCATTGCTAAGTTGCTTAGGGCCTTGCTAAGTTGCTGAAAGTAGCTTTAAACTCTCAATCCTCCTGCCTTGGTCTCCCAAACTAGTGGGATTACAGGCATGCACCACCAAGCCTGTCATGAAAAAAAGATTTTAGCTAAAAAGAAAATAAGAGCTACACATTCAGATTTGCTGGCAATCAATGCAATACTATAATTACCTTCTAGAAATAGTTGTTATAGGAAAAAAAGAAACAGACTCTATCATAGAGTCAGCTATAAAATGTGCATAATATTATCAACTTTATAGTTTTCTGGAAAATAAAATGAAAGTATACATATACACAGTGTTTATTCAATAAAGGGCAGTAATAAATATTCAACAAAAGGAAGCTGTTATTTACTAAGCTAACCTTTCTGGGTTTTTTATTTCATTTTTGCTTTTCTATTTGTTTGTTTTTTCACCTGGGGATCAAATCCAGAACCTTACAGACTTTAGGCAGGCACTCTACCCCTCAGTCACAACCCCATCCTGGTTCTCTCACTTTTAATAATAAAAGGCCTAGGGCTGGGGATGTGGCTCAAGCAGTAGCACACTCGCCTGGCAAGTGTGCGGCCCAGGTTCAATCCTTAGCACCACATACAAACAAAGATGTTGTGTCCGCCAAAAACTAAAAAATAAATATTAAAAAAAAATTCTCTCTCTCTCTTTAAAAAAAAATAAAAGGCCTAGATTTTTCAAAGAGTTATTGAAAAGATTATTTGAAATGTTGAACATTAAGTTCTTAAAAAAATACCTAGCACAAGCAAGCATGTACAATATAGTGTAGAATATACGGAAATTTTCATAGTATAGTAGATTTGCCCGGTTCGATCTATATATAGTATCAATGTTCTATACTGTTTTCTAATTTCTTAAGAAAGATCTGTAAGAAACTGAATTAATATAATCGTTAACTCTTAAAAAGTAAGCATGAGGGGCTGTGGCTGTGGTTCAGTGATAGAGCACTCACCTGGCACATGTGAGGCACTGGGTTCAATCCTCAGCACCACATAAAATAAAATAAAGGCATTGTGTCCCTCTACAACTAAAAATATAGATATTAAAAAAAAAGTAAGCATGATTTTCTGACCACATGGGTAGCTGACCAATGCTAACATCTAGAATTTGACAAAGGCAACAAACTCACCCTTTCTGTTGAGTTCATAAAAAGATGAAATGTCTTTCTTTGCTCCTATTATTTTCCTTACTTCTAAAATACATTCTATTAATGAGTATTCAGTAACAGTCCAGACAAGAGCTATTGTATATTAAATGCTCAGGAGAATTCCTAAAAGCATGTATACAATAGGATGTACTTTACAGAATAACCTAAATCTGGGGAAGTATAAGCAATGTGGTGGTGGGGTTTTTTTGTTGTTGTTTTGTATCAGGAATTGAGCTCAGGAGCACTCGACCACTGAGCCACATCTCCAGCTCTTTTTTGATATTACCTAAAGACAAGGTTCCACTGAATTGTTTAGCACCTCGCTTTTTGCTGAGGCTGCCTCAGCCTCCCTAGCCACTGGGATCACAGGCGTGCGTCACTGTGCCCAAAAAGCAATGTTTTTTAAAACTCTCAGCTGGAGAGCTATTACCAAGTCTCTACAATAAGGTTTGTTGCTAAGAAGAGAATTCCTTTTGTGAATCGAGTACAGGTTAAGAATCCTCAATCTGAAAATCCAAACTTCTACAAAATGTGAAATTTTTTGAGCACCAACATGATGCTGTAAGTGGAAAAATTCCAAATCATGAAACTTTATTTCATCTACAAAATTATGAAAACTTGTATAAAATTACTATCAGGCTATGTGTATATTAAAACACATATGAACTATGTTCACACTTGGGTCCTATTCTTAAGATATCTCATTATGTATTTACAAATATTCTAAAATTTTGGGGAAAAAAAACAGTTCTAAAACAACTTCTGGTCCCAAGCATTTTGGGTAAGGAATACTCAATAAGTATACAATAATTTATTTACAGAATTAAGGGGAAATAGGTAATTGTAAAACACTATTCATTACTTTTATGGTTTGAATCTGAAATATTCCCCATAGGCTCATGTGTTAAAGGCTTCGTCCTCAATGCAGCAATGTTCAGAGGGGATTTTCAGAAGTGACTGAATCATGAGGGCTCTAACCTCATCCATAGTTAACCCATTGATGGATTCACAGGTGAATGGATATTGGTAGGTGGTAAAAACTGTAGGAGGTGGGACCTAATTGAAGGGATTGGGTCCTTGGGGACATGTTCCTAAAAACTACATCTTGTCCCCAGCTGCTTTCCTGGGCCCCCTCTTGCCACCATGAGGTATGCAGTTCTTCTCCACAACACCATGCCATGATATTCTCTTCAATATCACAGTGATGGGGACCAAGCAACTATTGAATTGCTTGAAACTGTGAGCCAAAATAAATATTTCCTCCTTTAAATTGTTTTTCTCAGGTTATTTTGTCACAACAATTGAAAGCTGACAAAATTATGCGGGAAATTTTACCTAAGCTCTTTGGAAATACCATCTCTCTCTCTCTCTCTCTTTTTTTTTTCCCAGTCCTGGGGCAATCTACCAATAAGCTACATCCCCAGCACCCCCACCCCCACGCCCTTTATTTTTTTTTTTTCAGTTTTGAGAAAGGGTCTTGCTAAGTTGCCAAGGCTGCCCTCGAACTTGCAATCCTCCTGCTTCAGCCCTTCCCAAGTAGCTGGATTTACAGTGTGTGCCACCATGCCTAGCTGGAAATACTAATCTTTCAAGGAGACAAAGACTACACAAATCAATGCAAAATATGTATGCCCAAGTGTAATTAGTTTTGCTATGAGCTTAGTGTCACTAAAAACTAACTTAGGCCTGTTTTTTTTTTTTTCCTCCAGTTTTAGAACAAATAAATGCAACTTAAAAAAAAAACAATGTCACTGACTAGGCCCAATATGTTTTTAGGTGATTATTCCATCTTTACCCATGTACTGCCTCAGTTTGGGAGTGATTATTCCATCTTTACCCATGTACTGCCTCAGTTTCCTCCATTATTAGAGTATTTCCATGCCAAGGTCTGTAGGTAATGCCAATTAATCACAAGGCAGAAAAGCTGGCATGAATCTGACATTTTTTGAAGGCACAGAATAAAAGACTTCATAGCTTTCAATGGCCTATTTTAAAGAAAAGGAAAGCTGGTTCATTCAATAGCTCAGCAGCTTTAAAAACAAACACAAAGGTTTCATGCTGCCATGATTTTATTTTAAAGAACAATACTTGTGAAAGGCAGGTAAGTAACTGGGTAATAAAAGCAGAATAAAAAAAAGACACAATTTCATACAAGAATTATATTAAGCAACTAAAAAGCCATCCTATTTTCCATATTAAAATTAGTCCTAAAGCTAACCTCAAAATTTTTCTTTTGTCTTGATTTTATTCTTCTTTCAGTTCCTTCCAGGAACACAGAGTACCATTCTGTATGGCTAATAAATTACTTCAGAGAGCTTTAGAAGGTGGCATTCCTTAGTCACCTACTTGTTTCAGGTGCATGCACCCCATCATTTTAAAATTCCAAAAAATTCTCTATGTAGTTAAATGTGCAACACAACAATATGCTTCTATGTTTAGTATAAGTAATGCCAGACGAGGCAGCAAAAGCATTAGTTTTGGGTCACTATAAATCTCATTCTGGGAACTACCTAAGAAACTAATAAGTAATGAGCATAATTAACCTAATATTCACAATTATTAACTTGTTTCTGTACCTACCTTTGCATTCTGTCCCACTGAAAAATTAGCCGTATTGTAGCAGCATGTCCCCAACTCTCCCCTGAAAGAAAAGAACAAAACTTAATATTGCCTTGCTGACTAGGCTATAAGTTCCTTAGAATACCTCTAACAAAATATAGTTTTACTTCATCAAATTTAACATAACAAGAATGTACTTGGATTTAAAAATCAAAGGACGTGAGTCACATGCTAAGATTAATAGAGTTTTACCAATCTAGGGAAATACTACAAATCATTAGCCTCTTTTTTTTTTTTTTAAGATGGGATCTATGTTGTCCAGGCTGCCCTCAAACTCCTGGACTCAAGCGAGCCTCCTATCTCAGTCCCCCAAGTAGCTGAAACGATAGATGTACATCACTGTGCCTGGCAAAAAAAATTTATATATATATATATATATATATATATATATTCTTACAGATTTTAGTGGAAATACATCTTGTGGCATTTTGTTCTAACAAAATCATGCTGAGGCTTGGAACAGAGTCATAAGTCTACTCATGGTAATATGATATGTATTTAAATGGATTACTCTTTTCTCTTAACTACCACTGTGAGGTTTTGATAGTAGCAGTAATTTTTTGAATATTTGTATTTCAGGTACTTGACAGTAAATATTCAGTAACTGTTAAATTAGTGAAAGGACACTGTGCTTGGTGCTAAGATTTATCAATAAGCAAAATAAACACTCTCTGCTTTCATAGACCTTATAGCACTCAATAAACATCAAATGAAAAGGCAGAAAAAAATGTTAAATTAAAAATGCTCATCTCATTAATTTACCTACCTAATGCAGGAACCAGCAAGGCCTGATTTTTATCAATCTTTGTTGTCATTTGATTGGTTAAAATTACCTAAAAAAGCAAAAATGTGGGAAAGTCAGACTCACCTGAGTCTCTCTCCAAAATGATCAAGTACACTCTCCTGTGATTTCTAAATAGAATAACTGCTAAAGAAATTGTTAAACACAAACATATTTAGATTAAAAAAAATTTTCCAGTGCACATGCCTGTAATTCCAATGACTTGGGAGGCTGAAGCAGGAGGATCACAAATTCAAGGACAGCCTCAGCAACTTAAGGAAGCCCTAAGCAACTTAACAAGACCCTGTCTCAAAATAAAAAACAAAAAAGGCTGGGGATTTTGCTTAGTGGTTAAGTGCCCTGGGTTCAAATATTTAGTACCAAAAAAAAAAAAAAGTGTGCTCATAAAAATAGTTATCTAAAAACTTTTTTCCCCCATATGGAGGATGGAACCCAAGGCCTTACCCACATGCTCTACCACTGAGTTACACCCCAAGCCTAGCTGCCAAGTCTGGAACTTGCAACCCTCCTGCTTTAGCCTCCCAAGTAGATGAGACTACAATTGTATTCCACCACACCTAGCACAGTATTAGCTACTATTTATTGAGGGCTTGCCACAAACCCAGTAACATTTTGGGTGCTATACATATAAATACAAATATTAATCTTGTCAGTTTTAGAGCTGGAGAAACTAAGGCAGGAAAAAGTATGTAACTTGACAAAGATCATAGCTGTTGAACAGAGCTGGCAGATCCCAAAAGAAGAGTATATTGAGCCAGGTGTGGTGGTGCACACCTGTAATCCCAGCGGCTGCAGAGGCTGAGGCAAGGAGGATTGCAAATTCAAAGTCAGCCTCAGCAGCTTAGTGAGGCCCTAAGCAACTCAGTGAGACCTGTCTCTAAATAAAATATAAAAAAGGGCTGGGGATGTGGCTCAGTGGTTAAACACTTCTGGGTTCAATCTCTTCCCCACTAAAAAATAAAGAATGATCATTAATGGTAGGCAACAGTTGCAGCAAAGCAACATCAAGAATTGGTGTTACTCTCAGGAAAGAAAACTGTACCTCTTCCTTGTTCACAGTGCTCTACACATTCAGAGAAAAAAAAAATTTTTTTCAGTACTGGGGGCTGGACTGAGCTACATCCCCAGCCCTTTTTATTTTTATTATTTTGAGGCAAAATCTAAGTTGCCCATGGTGACAATCAAACTTACAATCTTCCTGCCTAAGCCTCCCAATCAGAAAACTTTTTAATAAGTAAGAATGGGGGGGGGGGGGGGGCGGCAGTAGAAAAGTGGTATGGCATAGGTTGGACTCTAGAGCAAAACTCTGCAGGTTCCTTACCATCTGTGGCCTACTGTGAATTGCCTAACCTTGATAAGAACAGAGAAGTTCTTTCTGTAAAAATGTTAGAATAAAATAAACCAAATCAAATAATACATAAAGACTCAAAGAACAAAAGCTTCATAACTTGGAGAACTAGAAAACCTTCACTTTTAAGTTTTAGGCTGGGGTTGTAGCTCAGTGGTAGAGCACTTGTCTAGCATGTGTGAGGCACTGGGTTCGATTCTCAGCACCACACACAAATAAATACATAAAATAAAGGTTCATTAACATCTAAAAAACATTTTTTTTAAAAATTCAAGTTTTGTGTAAGTCAGTAAGATAACCAGAACAGCAGCTGCAACATCATAGTGGTAATGAATATTTATTGAGTACTGAATACATTCCAGAAACTTTTATTTTATTATTTTTTTTAATTATTTTTCTTTTTTTTTAATTTTTAATATTTATTTTGTTTGTTTGTTTTTGGCAGACACAACATCTTTGTTTGTATGTGGTGCTGAGGATCGAACCCGGGCCGCACGCATGCCAAGCGAGCGAGCGCACTACCGCTTGAGCCACATCCCCAGCCCCCAGAAACTTTTAAATACAATTTATTTTCATTACCTTATCTAATTTTTACAACTATTCTATAATGGAGTACTATTTTACTTATACTATTTTTGGTACTTTATTTTGGTACTGTATTTTTGCAGCTTTATCACTGAGCTGCATTCCCAGACCCTTTAATTTTTTATTTTGAGACAGGGTCTCCCAAAGTTATCTAGAGCTTTGCTGAATTGCTGAGACTGGCCTTAAGCTTGCAATCCTCCTGCCTCAGCCTCCAGAGTCTCTTGGATTACAGGGGGCACCACTGCATGTGGCTAAATTGGATTGTTATTCCAGTTTTACACATAAGAAATCGGAGGCTTAAAAGATTCAGAGTTCTTTACCATTATTGCCTCAGCAGAATATTTTTTTTTTTTAAGCAGAGTCTCCTAAATTGTCCAGGTTGACCTTGAACTCTCAATCCTTCTGCCTCAACCTCCCAAGTAACTCAGATTACAGTTATCTATTGTTTGTTTTTTCTTTTGTACTGAGGATTGAATTCAGGGGCACTTGACCACTAAGCCACATTCCTAGCCCTATTTTTTGTATTTTATTTAGAAACAGGGTCTCACTGAGTTGCTTAGCACTTTGCTGAAGCTGGCTTTTAACTCGCGATCCTCCTGCCTCAGCCTCCCAAGCCACTGGGATTTTAGGCGTGCACCACCGAGCCTGGCTAGAATATCTTTATTCAAAGGAATATGTTTAGAAAGGAGACAAATAGGCATTAAACTTTATCATTTTACAGAGAAAAAACAAGTGAGAAAAAAATATGAGCTCTAAATTCATAAAGTATAATACAAATAGAAATAGGAAAACTCAGTAACCAGATCAAATTCTAAATTAAAACTATAATACTTTGTTAGTAATAACCAGTTGTTGCTATACTCAGAGATAGCCTTCAAAGCTAAAAATATTACTAATTCTCTTGGATGAAAAAGTGGCCTATGGTAAAAAATCCATGTTTTTGTTTTAAAATTTTTAGTTGTAGATGGACATAATACCTTTATTTATTTATTTTTATGTGGTGCTGAGGATCGAACCCAGTGCCTCACACATGCCAGGCAAGTGCTCTGCCACTGAGCTACAGTCCTAGCCAAAGATTCCATGTTTTGACAATCACTTTATTTTTTTATTTTAGGGATTGAACCCAAGGCCTTGACCATTCTCCACATAATCTATGAGCCACCCCTCCACACAACCCCAACAGTAAACTTTTATTTTTTGGTGGTACTAGGAAGTAAATCTAGGGCACTCTATCACTGAGTTACATCCCCAGCGCACACCCCATGCTTTTTTAAATTTGTTTTTCTTTGCACCAGACTTTTTATTGGTGCATATAGTTGTACATGATGGTGGGATTATTGTTACATATTAGTACATGCACACAAGATAACAATATAATCTGACCAATATTCCCACCCCAGCACTTCTCCCTCTTCCCTGGTCCCCCTCCTTTTCCCCTACTCTACTGATCTCCCTTTGCTTTTCATGGGATTACCCTAGCACCTATCTTTTCCTTTTTCCTCTCTAGCTTCCACAAATGAGAGAAAACATAGGACTTTTGAGCTTCTGAGTTTGACTTATTTCACTTAACACGATAGTCTCAAGTTCCATCCATTTTCCTAAAAATGACATAATTTCATTTTTCTTTATGGCTGAATAAAACTATACTGTGTACATATGTCATTTTTTCCTTTGTTCATTCATCTGTTGATGGACACCTAGACTGATTCCATAGTTTGGCTAATGTTAATTGTGCTGCTACAAACATGGGTATGCATCTATTGCTACAGTATCCTGACTTTAATTCTTTAGGATAAATACTGAGGAGTGGAGGGCTGGGGTTGTGGCTCAGCAGTAGAGCACTCACTTAGCACGTGCAGACACTGGGTTCGATCCTCAGCACCACATATAAGTAAATAAATAAAGGTCAATCAACAACTAAAAAAATAAATAAATAAAAATAAAAAATACTGAGGAGTGGAATATCTGGGTCATATGCTGGTTCCATACCTAGTGTTTTCAGGAATATTGATACTGATTCCCATAGTGGTTGTACTAATTCACAATCCCTCCAACAGTGTAAAAGTGTTCCTTTTTCTCTACATCCTCTCCAGCATTTATTATTGTTCATATATATATAATTATTTTTTTGTACTGGGAATTGAACCCAGAATCACTCAACCACTGAGCCACATCCCCAGCCCCTTTTTTGTATTTTATTTAGAAACAGTTGCTTAGGGCCTCTCTAAGTTGCTGAGGCTGGCTTTGAACCCATGATCCTCTTGCTTCAGCCTCCCAAACTACTGGGATTACAAGCATGCGCCACCAGGCCCAACCCAAATGGTTATTTTAAATATTCTTCCATTACTAAACATCCCTCCAGAAAGAAGACAGTTACTTTTGCAAGCTAAAACTCTTAAAGAAAAAAGAATTCTCTGAAAAGCAATATAAGTTGCCTACTTAAAAAGAAAAAAATTGTTTGAAAGAAAGAAAGAAAATGCTGCTCAGGATGTGAGGACGATCTGGCTATAAAATCTGGCACCCATTCATCACCAGGGTTGATTCAGCTGACTCTGGATGGCTAGAAGGGTATCCCTTCCTTCCTCAACGCTCCCTGTGCATCCCTCCCAGAGCTGTATGCTCGGTCCAAGAGGCAGATCTTCCCTGATAGAGGAGGACTTTTCTTCAGTCAAAGGTATATGAGTAGCTTGTTCCCCTGCTAGAACCTCCAAACAAGCTCTCAAGAAAAGGCTGCCTGGGCTGGGGAGATAGTTCAGTGGTAAAGCACTTGCCTAGCATGCATAAGGTCCTAGGTTCAATACCCATCACCACATAAAAAATAAACAACAAGGGGCTGAGGCTGTGGCTCAACGGTAGAGCACTCGCTTAGTATGTGCAAGGCGCTGGGTTCAATCCTCAGCACCACATAAAAATAAAGTTAAGGTTAAAAAAAAAAGATTTCTAAATAATAATAATAATAAAATGATTTTTTAAAAAAGAAAAGGCTGTTTGGCTATTTCTATTGTAATGGCAACATAACTAAAATTTTTGTTTAGCTAGAAATAACTCTGTAGTTCATTTTAATCTCAATCAGACACCAAATGAATTACATGACTTTTTAAAATTATTCACTCCTTAAGTGCCATAGTACCTTCCTCATTCATTGCCTCATACCAGGCATCTTAGAACAAGCTACGCAGGAATTTAAATTGGTAATTAACTGAAGTGTATGACTAACCAGCTTCCCCAAAATGCTGAGTAATACTTCTTACTGTACATTCTGCTTAAGTTTTAGCATCTAGAATATTTGCTTATGCCCACACTTTTTATTTAGAGCTATGATGACCAGATCCATAGCCATTAGTCACATGTAGCTTTTTAAAAGTTAAATTAAAACTAGAAATGCAGTTCCTCAGTAGCATTTCAAAGGTCTAGACTGCAAATTTCTATCTTTTCAAAAGTTTTATTGGCCAGAACTAGTTCCTAGTATTTAGCTTATCCATTACATATATTCAAGAAAATGAACCAGCTGTCCAACATCCTAAAATTCAATTTTGAATTATTAGCAAATCTTTACAAAATAATTACACTATTTCTACAAAAATATTGGACTCAACATGATACAAATGACCATGTTATTACTCCAAGGTTCTCATTATAAATAAGCCTTTAAAACAGTAAAATTAACAATCATTTTGAAATTATAAACTTCAGAGCTTTAAAAATACTTTCACGAGGCTGGGATTGTGGCTCAGTGGAAAGCACATGTGAGGCACTAAATTCAATCCTCAGCACCACATGAAAACAAATAAATAAAATAAAGGTTAAATTCACAAAACAAAACTTTCACTATCCAAATGCCCTTCAACTGATGATAAACAAAATGTGGCATATTCAGAAAATGCAAAACTATTTAGTCATTAAAAGGATATTGAGAGCATGGTGGTACCTGCCCATAATCCCAGTGACTTGGGAGGCTGAGGTAGGAGGATTATAGATTTGAGGCTAGACTCAGCAACTTAGCAAAGTCCCTAGTGGCATGGTAAAACTCTGTTTCAAAATAAAAAGTAAAAGCTGTGCATGGGGTACATGCTTGTAATCCCAGTGGCTTCAGAGGCTGAGACAGGATGATAGAAGTTAAATGCCAGCCTCAGCAAATGAGCAAGGCTCTAAACAACTTAGCAAGACCCTGTCTCAAAATAAAAAATAAAAAAGGCTGGGGAAGTAGCTCAGTAGTAAATTGCCCCTGAGTTCAATCCCCAGTACAGAAAAATAAAAAGAAAAGAAAAATAGGCTGGGGATGTGGCTCAGTGGTAAAGCACCTTTGGGTTCAAGCACTAATATCAATAAAATAAAATAAAATAATAAAAGGATACATATATATGCTAAAACATGAATGAATCTATGTGTTTTTTTAATATGTTAGGCAAGCATTCCATCACTAAGCTATATCCCCAGTTCAACATAGGTGACTACTGAGAACATTATGCTAAGTGAAAGAAGCCACACAAAAGAGGTCATATATTACATGATTCTATTTATATGAAACATCCAAAAGAGACAAATTCAAAGAGACATAAAGCAGATGAGTGGTTGTTAGGGACTATGGGGAGGGCAGAATGGTTTTTTTTTTTTTAATTTGGAACTATATTTTATGGAATTACTTTCCCTGTACATGACATCAGGTTTGCAACAGAAGAAATTTCCATGAGATCTTAGAGAAGAAAATAAAGGTATAGACATTTTTAATAGTCTGAAGGGTCATTGTGGAGCAGAGATTTCTTTTTGGGAGTGACTAGAAATGTCCTAAAATTAGACAGTGGTGATTTTTCCATGACTTCCTGAATTTGCCCAAAACATTGAATTACTTACTTTAAAAGGGTGAGTGATAAGTGAATTACACCTTATTAAAGCAGTTATAAAATTTTTGGCTAATAACTAAAGAAATACATTTATTTTTTGAGAGGGGGTACTGGGGATTGAACTCAGGGGCACTCGACCACTGAGCCGCATCCCCACCCCTATTTTGTATTTTATTTAGAGACAGGGTCTCCTGGAGCTGCTTAGCACCATACTTTTGCTGAACTCACAATACTTCTGCCTTAGCGTCCCAAACTGCTGGGATTATAGGCATACACCACCAAGCCTGGCTAGAAATACATTTTTTAAAAATTTTTTTTACTTGTAGATGGACACAATATCTTGATTTTATTTATTTATATTTCTGTGGTGCTGAGGATTGAACCTAGTGCCTCACACATGCTAGACAAGTGCTCTACCACTAAGCTACAATCCCAGCCCTAGAAATACATTTTTAAAAGGACTTTCCTAGTCAGGCATGGTGGCATAGGCCTGTAATCCCAGTGGCCAGGGAGGCCAAGACAGGAGAACTGCAAGTTCAAAGACAGCCTCAGCAATTTAACAAGGCCCCAAGCAACTAGGCAAGACCCTGTCCTCATTTCATTTTGGAAAAGAGTTAAAAGACTGGTAATACCAAAAGGTGAGAAAGATGTGGGAAAACAAGAATTTCCATTCATTGCTAAAAGAGAGCATATTTTGGAACATGCTTTCTGAGAGTAATTTAATAGTATGAAAGAAAATGCTCAAGCAAAATGCTTAAAAACAGAATCCTTTGCCAGGTGTGGTGGCACACACCTGAAATCTCAGCTACTAGGGAGGCTGAGAAGAAGGTTGCAAGTTTGAGGCCAGCCTCATCAGCTCTGCAAAACCCTAAGCAACATAGTTAGATCCTGTTTAAAAAAAAAAAAAACAGGCTACGGGTATAGCTCAGTGGTAAAGTACAGCTGGGTTAAATTCCTAGTTCTACAGGGAGGGAAAAAAAAGATTCCTTTGGTTTAATACTTTCACATTAAGAAATTTATTCTAGTTGGGCATGGGGCACACACCTATAAGTCCAGCAAATCAGGAGGCTGAGGCAGGAGGACTCCAAGTTCTAGATCAACCTCAGCAACTGAGCAAGACCCTGTCTCAAAATTGAAATTTAAAGAAGGGGTAGAGATAGAGCACCCTGGGTTTGATCCCTAGTACCCCTGCCCAAAATAAGGACAATTGATTTGAAGCCAGATGCAGAAGCATGTGCCTGTACTCCCAGCCATTAGGGAGGCTGAGTCAGGAAGATTCCAAGTTTGAGACCACACTTAACAAGAATCTGTCTCAAAATAAAATATAAAAAGGGCTGGGGACATAGCCCAATAACAGAAGGCTTGCCTATCATGTATGAAGCCTGGGTTCCATTCACAGGAACACAGAAAGATAAAAGAAAGAAAAAAAAAAGATGAAGCTATTACTGTTAAAACAAAATCCTAGTTAAGTGCAGTGAAACACCCATGTAATCCCAGCTACTCAGCAGGCTGAGGCAGGAGGATCTCAAGTTCAAGTCCAATCTGGGTAACACAGTGAAATTTAGTCTGGGGAAAATAAATAAACTTAAAAAAACTATGCAACCCGTTAGTCTTGAGTGCCCTCTACTGGGGATTCTTCACTGATTCAGGTATTAACAAGGCTAAATTAATGGCAAAAATTAATTCAAACATAGAAGCTATCCTTCTCAGAATATGGCAAAAACTCTGAAACTCAAAGAAGATATGTATGTTTTAAATTTTATAGAAAGAATTCTTTATTAACTTATAATGTATTGCAAAGATGTGTTTAAAGATTCTAATCAGGGTAAAAACAAAAAAAAATTAAGTAAAACAGTTTGAGATTCCATCTTCCTCCTAACAAAAGTATGTTTGTCAGTGGTAAGATAGGGTAGCAGAATGGAAAGTAATGGTAAACAGGTGGTTTAAAGTTTAAAAAAATAAAAAAGCCACATGAGGTGTGTGCCTGTAATTCCAGCTAGGAATTACAGGAGACTGAGGCAGGATTGTAAACTCAAAGCTGGTCTGGTATTTTGTGTGATATCAAAAAAAAAAAAAAGCTTACTTTTTTATCTCTTTATTTCTGAGCTTATATTTACCTCTCTTTTCACATTCAAATCTCAAAGAGTTGGCTCTACCTTAATACACTAGGTTGTTTACATTATGATTTTTTCCAATCCATGAGTCTATGATTTTTTTACTATGAAATGATGAAATACTTACTAAATAAAAATGAGGACGTTATAAACATAAAATATATATTTAGATAAAGATAAAATACAATTACCAAAGGTGGCATTTATTTATCAAAGTTTTTTTTTTTTTTTAAATTACATTGATTATGCTTGTTATTTTGCAAGAAAACAGATACAAGACACTTACGACTAGTACTAATTCTTTTTATAAACCAAACCAAAATAAAACAACCTTCAAAACTGCGTCCACTGGGTGTGGTGGTGTAATCCACCTGTAATAACCCAGCACCTCAGGAAGCTGAAGGACGATCAAAAGTTTGAGGCCAGCCCCGAGCAATTTAGTGAGACCCTATCTCAAGATAAAAAATTTTAAAAAGGCTGGAAAATGTGGTTCACTGGTAAAATACCTCTGGGTTCAATCCTCAGTACCAAAACAAAACCAAAAAAACCCTGCATGTACGTATTTTTTTCCTTTGTAGAGTAAGGCAAAATCTACCTTGGTATTTGTAGACATTAATATTTTATACAGTCTTGAGTTTATTAAAGAAACTCTCTTGATCAGTAATACTTACAGCTAATCTGTGATTATTTGCAAGGCTGATCATTTGCTGGGCAAGGCCATTTAGTAATCGAGTTCGAAGGGATAGGTCATCAATGTCATGGCGAAAAGGAAAAGCAATTCCATCTACTATCACTAATCGAACCTAAAGAAAGAGATAATGATATTAAAAATAATAAAGAATGGCATCCAAAAAGCATAATTCATTACAAAAAATACTTTAAAATCAAGGGCTTTTTTTCTAACTCCTCAAAGAAAGGCTTTCATTTGGAAATTTATAAATCTATTTATACACTGTTTTCTGAAGTAATTACCAAAAATTAAAAGGCACCCTTGTTTTGACAATTTAACTCAAAAAGAAAAAGAAATAATAACAATTTTCATATAACTTGCCAGTATACACAGGTTTTTATAGAGGTATTTTAAACTAATAAAGCACATTTTTTTTTAGTTGTAGGTGGACACAATATCTTTATTTTATTTATTTTTATGTGGTGCTAAGGATTGAACCCAGTACCTCACGCATGCAAGGCAAGTGCTCTACTACTGAGCTACAAACCCAGCCCATATTTAAATTCTTGGTAAAGAACTGGAGGTACAGCTCAGTAATAGAACACTTGCCTACCATGCATGAAGCCTGGGTTCAATGCCCAGCATCATAGGGGGAAAAAAAAAAAAGCTAAACAAATTTCTCCATTAAATATACCAATTTTATGCACATATGTACATATTTTGGTGTTTGGAGTCGAACCCAGGACCTTGTGCACCCTAAGCACACATTCTACCACTGAGGACACACCCCCCACCACTGCCCAATTAAACATAACAATTTTATTTTCAGGGTTCCTGTTACATTATAAACAAAACAAACAAACAAAAAACCCTCTTCAGCAGATGCAGGCATGGTGACCCATACCTATAGTCCTTTACAGGGGAAATACCATAGAAAGACAGGCTAATGAATGTTGTCTCTTCTTCCACCTCCATGATTAATGCCATCAAGTCAATAGCTTTGAAATCATCTATAATGGCAGTATTTTCTCCATGGAAATCAGCTAACAAATTAGCCACAGATCTGAGCTTATTTTATTATCTATAAAAAGTCCATTTAATAATGTGAGGTAGAAAATGTCCAAATCAGAATTTTAAAATGTGTTGTATCTGTAGCCATTACATTGTGAATTTCACCAAAAATCTAGGAAATATTCAGCCAGATATACAGTAGTATGCATCTGTAATCCCAGGGGCTTAAGTGGCTGAGGCAGGAGGATCACAAGTCTGAGGTCAGCCTAAGCAATTTAGCAAGGTCCTAAAGCAACTTAGTGAGACCCTATCTCAAAATAAAAAAAATAAAAAGGGCTGGGGATGTGGCTCAGTGCCCCTGGGTTCAATCTCCAGTACTAAAAATAAATAATTTTTTAAAATAAAAATAAAAAAGGGTGTGCTGGGGCTGTGGTTCAGCAGTAGTGCACTTGCCTGGCATGTGTAAGGCACTGGGTTCAATTCTCAGCACTGCATATAAACAAATAAAATAAAGGTCTATCAACAACTGAAAAAAAAATTTTTTAAATAAATAAATAAAAATTAAAAAGGGCTGGTGATATAGCACCCCTGGGTTTAGTGTCTACTATCCAGAAGGGAGAAAAAAGTCAATTCAGCAAAACAAAATGAAACTTAGCCAATTTTATTGTTTTATTTTTATCATATTAGTTAACTTAAGCAAAAATGTAACCAACATTCATTTTTTAAAATTTTATTTTGTTCATTTTCATGTTGATGGAACTTTATTTTTTATTTATATGTGGTGCTGAGAATCAAACCCAGTGCCTCATACATTCAAGGCAAGCACTCTACCAGTGAGCCACAACCCCAGCCCCCAGCATTCATTTTTACAACAGTATCTGTTCATTAATGATATAGTCAACTTCTTGTATCACTTGACTATTCAACAGACTATTAAACATAGTCAAGTGGCTATGGGTAGCTTGATTTTCCAAATCATGGCATAGTTTAGATATGAATACAAGTTTAGAAAAATTAAAATCAACAAAACCCCCATACATTGTTGGTGGGAACATAAAGTGGTTCATACACTGTTTAAAAAAAAAAAAATTTTGGTGGGTCCCCAAAAAGTTGAAACACAAGATTACCATATGATTCAGCAATTCTACTCCTAGACATACCCAAAAAAACCTGAAAAATGGTACTATAACAAATATTTATAAATACATGCTCATAGCAGCACTGTTCACAACTGCCAAAAGAAAAGAAATAATCTAAGTATCTATCAACTAATTAAAGGATAAACATATTATACTACATACATACAATGGAATATTATTAAAAAGGAATAAAATTCTGACATATGCTACAATGCAGATGAACTCTAAAAACATGCTAAGTGGAAAAGCCAGACATACAGGTCATATATTTATTATATGAAATATCCAGAATACGTAAATCTACAGAAACAGAACACGAACTGATAGTTGTAGGGGCTTAGGAGAGAAGAACAGGGAACGATTAAGAAATGGGTAGGGCCTTTCCTTTTGAAGTGGTGAAATTTAAATGAATAAATAAAAATAAATATTTACCAGCAGACCAATGGAGAAGTAAGAGGAATTGGTCAAAAAGTCATGCATAGTGGTACATGCCTATAATCCCAGCTACTGTCTAAGGTGAAGCAGAAGAATCTAAAATTCAAGTCTAGTTTAAGCAATTAAATGAGACCTTTAAAAAGGGCTGGGAGTGTGGCTCACTGGTAGAATACTTGCCTAGCATGCAAAAGGCTCTTGGTTCAACCTCTAGTACCCCTAGTCTTCTATATTTATTCAGTGATTCTCAAAGCCAGGTGATTGGATAACATAATTGAACTGACAAAAAAATAAAAATAAAAATAAACCAAGAGTTCTGTAACTGGTAAAAGTATAAGAATATAAAAATGAAAGCATATGTGGTGGCACATGCCTAATGCCAGTTACTTGGGAGACTGAGGAAGGAAAACTGCAAGTTTGAGGCTAGCCTGACAATTTAGTTAGAACCTGTCTCAAAATAAAAAATAAAAAGGGTTGGGTAAGTAGCTGAGCAATAGTGTGCCCCATGTTTCAATCCCTAGTACCTTCAAAAACAAACAATTAAAAAAAAAAACATAGGTGATTTCAAAGTTGACTCTTATAATTTGTAGTTCTATATATTCTATAAACTACTACCAACAGTGAATAACGAATTATTGTTCCCAGGGAAAATAAAGGGTTACATTTCAATGAACCTCTGGTTACATTTTTCATCAATTGATTAATGTATACACTCCACCCTTCCCCCCACCCCATACTGAGGACTGAACCCAGGGACATTCTATCCTACTCTGACCTATATCCCCAGCCCTTTTTGCTTTTTACTTTGAGACAGGGTCTTGCTAAATTGTCCAGGCTGCCTCCAAATTGTGATCCTCCACTCCTTTCAAGTAGCTGGGATTATACACACCACCATACCAGGCTACATAACCTTATTTATGTGTATTCCTGTTTAAAACATTTATTATATGTTGATTTATTAATATTGACTTACAACCAACAGCACAATAATTTACCCAGGAATAAAACTTATCTAGCCAGGTGCAGTGGTACACATCTATAATCCCAGCAGCTCGGGAGGCTAAGACAGGAGAATCTCGAGTTCAGAGCCAGCCTCAGCAATTGTGTGGTGCTAAGCAACTCAATGAGACCCTGTCTCTACATAACATACAAAATAGGGCTGAGGATGTGGCTCAGTGATCGAGTGCCTCCGAGTTCAATCCCCTGTACCAAAAAACCCAACAACTTATCTAATACATGTATTTTCTCCATAAGGCATAATACACCCTTCCTGTGCTTAGAAACACTATCCAGCAGTTAAGCACTATACCTGAGGGACATTTTAAACATTTAAATCACCAACAAAAAGAAAAAAATGCAGCATTAAAAAGAACACACAATGGGCTGGGGTTGTGGCTCAGCGGTAGAGTGCTCGCCTAGCATGCACGAGGCACTGGGTTCGATCCTCAGCACCACATAAATGTAAAATAAAGATATTGTGTCCACCTAAAACTAAAAAATAAATTTTAAAAAATAAATAAATATAAATATATAAATATATATATATAAAGGTATTGTGTCCAACTACAACTAAAAAATTAAAACAAACAAAAAGAACACACAAAAAAGATACTCATGTTTACAGTATGAGAGCTAAAACAAGAAGGTGAAGCATCATCTTCTTCAACCTCAGCTAGGAATGTGTTGGAAGGAAAATCAGTTTTTCACATGATATAAATGTCTGCAACTATGAATTGTTCCCCCCCCAATATTCACAGGTTGAAACTCTACCCCCAAAAGTGTTTGTATTTAGAGAAAGGGCCTCAAAAGAAATAATTAAGGTTAAATGAGATAATAAGATATATATCTTGATTTGACAAAATTAGTGACTTTAAGAAGAGACACTAGATACTGGGTTCAGTGATGCATGCCTGTAATCTGTGGTGAAGCTGAAGCAGGAGGAAATCACAAGTTTGAAGCCAGCTTCAGAAATTTAGAGAGATCTTATCTCAAAATTAGAATTAAAAAACTGGGAAATAGCTCAGTGGCAGAACACCCCTGGGTTCAATCCCAAGTAGCCCCCCCCCCACCCCGACACACACACAGAAAGCTCACTCCCTTCTCCCAACTGAGGACACAGCAAAAAGGTGCATCTACAAGCCAAGAGATCCCTCACAAGAAACTAAATCAGCCATAACCTTGATCTTGAACTTCTAGTCTTCAGAACTGAGAAATTTCTGTTTTTAAATCATTCAAATCTACGATATTTTTATTATGACAACCAGAGCTGACTAAAACACATTATAGTATCAGGAACTGAGGTACTACTGTCACAAATACCTGAAAATGTAGAAGTGGCTTTGGAACAGAGTAATGAGTACAAACTGGAAGAATTTTGAGATGCTTGCTAGATATGTGGACATTTTATACACACACACACACACACAGACACACACAAATAATATGGATGATACTGAACAGGACACAGTGGCTTACACCTGTAATACCAGCAACTTGGGAGACTGAGGCAGCAGGATCGCAAGTTCAAAGCCAGCCTCGGCAACATAGTGAGGTCCTGTTTCAAAATAAAAAAATAAAAAGGGTTGGGGATGTGGCTCAGTGGTAAAATGTCCCTGGGTTTAATCCCCAGTACCTAAAGAAGAATACAAAAAGGGGCCAGGGTGATTCTGGTGAGGTCATAGAAATGAGGAACATGTAATTCGAAATTGGAGGAAAGGTGATCCTTGTTATAAAGTGGCAAAGAACTTAGTTGCTGTAGTCTAGTGTTTTGTGGAAGATAAAAAGTGAGAGAGAAGAAAACTGGCTATTTAGCTGAGACTTCTAAGTGTTAAAGGAAGTGGCTTGGTTCCTCTTTGAAGCCTACAGCAACAGAGGATGAACTGAAAGAGGAATTGGTAAGCAAAGAAGAACCAGTACTAGTCAGGCAGCGACTCTGGAGGCTGAGGCAGGAGGATCACAGTTTGAGGACATCCTCAGCAACTTAGCAAGATCCCGTCTCAAAATTAAAAAAAAAAGGACTGGGGTGTAGTATAGATCAGTGATAAAGTGCCCCTGGGTTCAATCCTCAGTACTGGAATGCAAATATCTACCTGATGCCTGTCCTACCACTGTATTTTAGAAGCACATAACTCTTCCATTTTCACAGGCTCACAGCTAGAGAGGAATTCTACCTCAGGGTGAACTCTAACTTGAGTCTACCAACACATTTAGATGAGACTTTAAATTAGACTTTAGAATTGATACTGGAACCAGATAAATCTTTCGAGGTAACTGTGATCTAATAGATGTGTTTTGCATGTAAGAATTTGAATTTGGGGAGGGCCAGGGGCAGAGGCTAAGGCCTGAACTATGTCCCCCTAAAATTCATGTTGAACCCTTAACATACAACATAACTGTATTTGAAGAATAGGCTTCTAAGTAAGTAAGTAAGGTTAATGTTAAATAAAATGAGGGTCATAAAGATGGGGCCTTGATCCTTCAGGATTAGTGTCCTTGTAAGTAGAGACAACATGCACATGCACTCTCACTCACTCTCATGCTGTCTCTCTTTCAAACCTTTCCCTCTCACTCACAGTCAGTCTCTCTCTCTCTCCCCCCCCCTCCCTCCCTCTTTCCCTCCCCGCCACCACATGAGGTGACTGTGAGCCAGGAAGATTTGCCAGCAAGCAAATCATCCTGAACCTTTATGTTGGATTTCTAGCCTCCACAACTGTAAGAAAATAAAAATTTGTTGTTAAGCCATCCAATCTATAGCATTTTTATTATGGTAGCTTAAATTAACATATCTACAAATGACTATAAAGCATTGTTAGTATTGATTTGGGGGTTACAAATAAATCTTAGCAACCAAGCAAATTTACATTTATATACTTTGTCAGTATGGGGTACATACACACCTATAAATCCAGCAACTTGGGAGGTTGAGGCAGAAGAATCATAAATTCAAGCCCAGCCTGGGCAACTCAGTGAAACCTTCTCAAAATAAATAAAAAAGAGTTGGACAGCATTTGCCTCACATGCATGAGGCACTGGATTCAATCCTCAGCACCACATAAAGTTGGTAAATAAATAAAGACATTGGGTCCATCTACAACTTAAAATAAATAAATAAATAGAAAGAAAAGAGTTGGGGATGTAACTCAATGGTAGAATGTCCCTGGGTTCAATCTCCAGTAGGGGGTGGGGGGGTGGAATCTGTGAATAATGAAGATTAAGTTACTTAATGCTGAAATGAAAACTTTTCCCCAAGATCAGTAATAAGACAAGAATGTTCACTTTCATCAGTTAGTCAACATTACACTGGAAGTCTAGCTAGAGCAATAAAGCAAAATAAAAAATAAATACAAGCATCCAAATTGGAAAGTAAAAAGTAGGGCTAGGGTGTAGCTCAGTGGTAGAACACTTGTCTAACATGTGTAAGGCCCTGGGTTCCATCCCGACACTGCTAACTAAACAGTGATAATGACAAAAGAAAAGATATGTAGATCATAAGAACCAAGAAATAAACTCAACTTTATAGTTCCTTGATATTTCAATTTTAAAATTATTTTAAAAATAAATAAATAAACTTATTTAAACTTCAAAACTACCGTATATACACAAGTATACATAAGTAGTTTTGAAACTGAAATTTGAATTGTATATACGTATATACAAAATAAACATAAATGTATATAAATATATCGTAGGACAGGGAAAAAAGACATATTCTTTTTTGGCTTTGACTTTAATTTTATGCTACCATACTTCATAGTTATTTTTCATGCTTATCAAACACATCCAAAGATATTTAGTTAGTTATATTTCAGTTGTTTGACTCATACCTTTGAATGACCTGAAAGGAAATCTGGAAGAAGATAAACTTGCGCCAGTAGTTCTGTATAATCATGACAACGAAAATAGTAAATATGGGAAAGAATATTTTCAAGAGTGAAGTCCTTCAAAGCTCTTTCGTGTTCTAAAGAAAAACAAAACAGCATCTTACTAAGTTTTACTCGTATGGATATGTTGATGATTGTAGGAAAATAATACCTGTGTGTGTGGGAGAGGACTTTACCGGGGATTGAACCCAGGAACATTCTACCACTGAATTACATCCTTAGTCCTTTATATTTTTTATTTTGAGATGCACCTGCTAAGTTGTGTAGGCTGACCTCAAAAAACTTGCAATCCTCTTGCCTCAGCCTAACAAGATGCTGGTAATATAGGAATACACCAGCACATCTGGGTGGAAAAAGTGTTTTTTCCTACTACTTTCCCAAGTTCTCTGGCTGAAATAAACTAGACTGACAAAGACAGTTTAACAATAGAAAAACAAAAATTGAATAACATATATTCATCACATATATAATAAATGGGAGTCCAAAGATTAGTATCTCAAAAACTTGGTTAGAATTTTGGCTCATTTTACCAAAGGAACAATAAATTCTTAGTGAAGTGAAAAGACAAAGGAAAAGGACCTTGAGTCTCTAGAGCTAGCAAATTGTAGGAAGGCAAATATATGGGAAATTCATGGAAGATAAAGACTACCTAATGAAGGGCTGGAGTGGGGCTCAGTGGCAGAGCGCTTGCCTAGCATGCGTGAGGCACTGGGTTTGATCCCCAGCACCACATTAAAAAAAAAAAAAAAAAAAAAAACCTAAATAAACAAAATAAAGGTATTGTGTCTATCTACACCTAAAAATATTTTTAAAATTAAAAAAAAAAATAAAAAGACTAGCTAATGAAGTTTGTTACTTAGATTCCTCTGTTGGCTGATTCCTCCATGCTGACAGAGTCTAAAATTGTCTCTGGTGATTATTTTTTGTCTTTCCTTGGCAGAGAGGGGAGAGAAAACACCTTAGCACATTTGCGTTGTTTTTATGAAAATACGGACAAGGTAGAAAGCTTTCCTTTATATTTTTTCTCAATTGCCTTCAGCTCAAAATAAACCTTTTGCCAAAATGGCATATTTGGGGGTGACATGTTCTGCCAGTGTACAATGTCTTTTAGTAGATGTTAATGGTGATTAATTAAGACACTTAGTACCTACATGAAAATGAAAATATACAGCTAATTATAGTTGCTCAATGGAAGTACAAGCATCTTATGAAAAGCATCCCTTTCTTAAGCTTCTAGAGAAAAATGTAAGGACTGCAAATGCCTGTAATTCCACCTACTTGGGAGGCTGAGGCAGGTGTATAAAATTAAGGTCAGCCTGGGCAACTTAAGGACATCTGTCTCAAAAAATACAAGCCAGGTACAGTGGCGCATGCCTATAATCCCAGCGGCTAGGGAGGCTGAGGCAGAAGGAGCTCAAGTTCAAAGCCAGCTTCAACAACAGCAAGGTGCTAAGCAATTCAATGAGACCCTATCTCTAAAGAAAATACAAAATAGGGCTGGGTATGTGGCTCAGAGGTTGAGTGCCCTGAGTTCCATTCCCAGTACCAAAAATAAATAAAAATTAAAAATAAACAAATAAAAAAGACAAAGTGCTGGGTATGTGGCTAAGTGGTAGAGTGCCCCTAGCTTCAATCCCCAGTCCTACAAACAAACAGAAATAGTAAATAAATAAAAATAAAGGGCTCCGGATGTTGCTCAGTGGAAGAGCATTTTCCCAGGATGTGCAAGGCCGTAGATTCAATACCTAGTACCACACTTACAAAAATAAAGAAAGAAAGAAATAAGATGAAGATAAAAATAAAGCAAAAGAAAATAGTCAAACTACCCACTTGCTTTTATATAATAATTAAAAAGATAAGAATGGGGGCTGGGGTTGTGGCTCAGTGATAGAGCGCTTGCCTAGCATGTTTGAGGCACTGGGTTCGATTCTCAGTACCACATATATATATAAAGTCCACTGACAACTTAAAAAATATTTTAAAAAAGAGATAAGAATGGGATCCTAATTGGAATAAATTATAATCCATGTATGTATAATGTCAAAATGTAATCTACTGTCACATATATGTAAAAAGAACAATTAAAAAAAAAGTAACTGAAAGGACAAGAACTTGAATATAAACTATCTTTTTAAAAAATCCTTTTTAATCTAATAAATACCCCCTAAAAGCCTCCCAAATTCTTAAATGATACAATTAATGCAGTTATAAAGTAAATTATATACTATTCAAAGCCCCCAAAGGTCAACAGCTTAACATTCTGAACATTTCTAGATGCAGATTTCAAAGCATTTGGTTATTGGAAAACCAGTGTGGAAGTCAACATATGCACCTAACAACATTCACTCATAATATGATGTCCACATTAGCTTACATCTGGCCAGTTGGAATATGATGTTTTGAAGTCATACACTGAAATACATGCATTGGTTTGCCCCAGAATTACTACAATGAGGTCCACAGAAGGGGAAGAAAAAGCCAGTTCCAGCTATAGTGCTTGTAACAGATGCAAGAGCATTTGACGTTAATACACTGTTAAACCATTAAGCTTCACATTCAAAATGGTCTCTTGCTGAGTTCTGAGATGGGCGCAAATGCAAACAACCTTTGTTACACAGAAAGAAAGAGGATCATTTGTTAACTTACCTTCTTCCATGTGTGTTCCTGCTATAAGATGAAGATGCTGAATGCAGGCAGTAGCAAGGTCTACCACTCTGTCAACCATAAAGCTTCCCTCTGTATCAATAAAAACTGCTTCACCCGCCACTCCTCCAAAACATTCTGGTATCTGCACATCGACTGCCAACTGCATACTGTCAAGAAATAAGTTATCATGATCATCTACTGCAGTGTCTTTCGAACTCCAGGTAATGACCAGTTAGGTACCACTAAAGTTTTATAAATGCAAATATACTCCCCAAGCAAAAGAGATGGCTAACTCTCTGTGGACCAGATGATTGTGAATCAACTGATGCTTGGATTAGGGGAAGACTGTGCCTATAAAACCAAGATTAAGAAATTATTAGTGCTTTCTAGGCTTCTGGAAATAGAAACCTATCTTATGCATAAATCCACTTTCAAACATTTCACTTTCCAATATATTCTCAGGAGTGAATTAATAACAGAAGACTGCCTCATGACCATATCATATTGCAAAGGAAACATTTTTGATACCAAAATAATTGTTTCAATTTATCAAGATATGGTACTGAAGTAATATAAATGGTGAACTGGGTTTTGTTCTATGCACACACACACACACACATATACAAAATTAAGAGCACACCTTTTATGGTTTCTTGACTGTAAACACACAGCACACCACACTCTACTACTTACATAAAATGTTATTAAACCTGCCCTTAAAAGGGGAACATCTTACTTTACCATAATTGTGTTTTTCCAACACCTGGTGCACCACAAATTTCCGTTGTTTTCATTAAGGGTACTCCACCGCCAAGAATATTATCTAGTGCAGAACAGAAGGTAATAATGAAGCCCTGGGTTTGCTCCTGCTCGAGAAGTTCCAGTGCTGTACACTTCCTGCCTGACTCTGGCGCACCAGCATATTTTGGTTTATTTGTGTGACACTCTCTTCTTATAATCTGCAGAGTTTCTAAAGCCTCCTCTTTAGATATTCCAACTTCTGAAAGTAAAATAACAAATAGACCATTGATTTTAGAGATTTAAAAAACAAACACAATTATGGATTGTCTTCATTAATTTTTTTAGATAACATGAGTGATAGTAAAGTCAGGTGCAGTGGCACACGCCTGTAATCCCAGCCACTTGGGAGGCTGAAACGAGGGGCACCAAGTTCAAGGCCAGCCTCTCGGCAACTTACTGAGGCTGTCTCAAAAGGGCTGACCGAGGATGTGGCTCAATGGTAGAGCACCAACCAGAGTTCAATCCCCAGTAGGGGGGGGGGGGTGTCCACAAACACGGTTTTCCCAACCATCCAGTGAACAACTGTTCTTTGTTTTGGTTTCTTGTGCGTGTGTGCGTGTATGCGTGAGAGCGTGTGTGTGTGTGTGTTGCTGCCCCACGATCACTGAGCTACATCCTGGGCCCCTTCCGACGAATTTCAAGTGGCCTCGAGGAATTCTTTCACTTTTTAAACGAGGCCGCGGGAGGCAGCACGCAGACAGAGACTGAACTGAAGCCTGAGAGCAGGAGAAAGAAGACTGAGGTGGCGGGAGCGAGAGGCGACCGCGTACCTAAGCTTGCCGTCAGCAGTCCTTACCTTTGCTGAGTTCGGAGGGTTTCACCTCCAGGAGTTCCTCAGCAGTCTGGAAACCTGCAGACACCAGCTTCACCCGTACTGCAGGAGACAGCGGGAAACTCACCAAATCCCGCTGCATTTCAAAGAGGAACGCCTAAGTACACTATAACGCAGACCCCACCCCTGTAGCTAAGTCCGGGAGACCAAAACTCCGCACTCCCGCGCCCGGGCTGTGACGTCAATCCTAAAGCGGAAGGGGCGGGCTCTGAGGCCTGACTGCACGAGGCTTTAGCTTTGCCACTGTGGGGAATACGTGTTTTCTTTCACACCTCCCAGGCTTCCGAAGTGATTCCTTCATATACCGTTTAGGGTTTCTCCATTTAATGTACACGGTGACAATAAAAAGATGGATGGCCTCCATCTTAGGAATGGAGAGCTTGGCACAGCAGGCCCTACACATCACATTGTCTCTGAACTGTCCTGTTGAGTGGAAGCCTCAGTCATTAACAGGAATTAATTCCCTGAGTGGGGATAGTGGGAGCAATAAAAGAACACAGGCTAGTTAACCAATTTTTTGGTGTGACAAGTCTAGGAAGCAGTCATATAAGGATTAATCTATGCTTATTATAGTATTCCAGCCCCTTGACTCTTCTCGCTAGCCGTCCCCCCTTTTCTGCCCCCACCCTTTGCCTTTCCCGCCCTCGCGAGGGATTGTGGGCCAGACCCCCCCACCTCCGCGGGGAGACTCTTAGTCCAATCCCCGCACCCACCCACGCCTTCCCGCGAGTCAACCCTGGAGCACGGAGGGTTCTGAGACCGTTAGCACTTCACGGCCTGCTTAGCTTGAGAAAAGTAAGCATGTAATGACCCATAGTGGGTTTACTCGACTCCCGGTAGAGTTGCAAAGGGTGTTGAAGGCCTGGAAATGACCGCTTCTAAAACACAAAACTTAGGGGGAATTGGGAGCTGGTTTGGAAGGTGATTTTTGAGGTCATTTCTTTCCTAGGGATTATGATTTATTTAGGGGAGTAACTTATACCCTACTTGTTGGCGACGATTTTTGGGGTGGGGGGTGGATTGAAGCCAGGGGCGCTGTATCTCTTGACTGATATCCCCAGCCCTTTTTGAGCTTCGCTGAAATGCTGAGGCTGACCTCAGACTAGGAATCCTCCTGCCTCAGCTTCCCGAGTCGCTGAGATTACAATTACAGGCATACACCACTGCGCCCAGCCTTGGCAACGATCCTACCCTTGATTTTTCTTCCCAGCTTAAAGGAATTTTTTAAATATCATGAAATAGAACTAAGGAACAACATTCTGCTGAGCACTGTAACAAATCCCATACATTTCAAATGCTCATAGCCATGCCATGAGGAAGACTAGGACGTAGAAACTCAGCAGGTTTCTTCAAGCCAAAATTCAACCTAGAACACTCTCTGTTACCTCGAGTTACCACCAAATTGTATACCTCTTTTGAGAGGAGAGGATTTCAGAAATTCCCAACTTGGTAGGGTAGGGAAAGTCTGGTAGAGATAGTCAAAATGTGGTTGGTGTAAGTACATTGCTTAACATTGGGTTTTTTTTTTTTGGAGGGGGGTGGCAGGGGCATAGGAATTGAACTCCGGAACACTCGACCACTGAGCCACATTCCCCAGCCCTATTTTATATTTGATTTAGAGACAGTGTCTCACTGATTAACTTATGATTTACATCTGGTACTCAGTGGCATTATCTAAATATTGTCCTCTTGAGAATTCATACTTATTTTTGTAAAGCAATCAGGTTCTTGGGTGAAGAAGACAGTGTTACCTTAGTCAGCAGTAACTCTTCAGTTTGGTGAAACACAGTGGAATTGGTCATGTTTAGAATTTCGTTTCGTCTGCAGGGAGAGTTAAGAAACTAGTCAAGTGCTAGGGATATATAGCTCAGCGGTAGAATACTTGCCTTGCATGTACAAGGCTCTGGGTTCAATTCCCAATACTACCAAGAAAAGAGAAGGAAAAAAGAAACTAGTGGACTCCATGTGAAGCTACACTTAGCTGCTATTAGTATTTTCCAACCCTGCCTCAACTTGCCTATAATAATTACCATTTTTATCATCATTCTTTAGTAGCTGTAGTCCCAGCTACTTGGGAAGATGACTTGAGCTCAGGAGTTTGAAACCAGCCTGGGCAGCATAGTAAGATCTCTCTCTCAAAGAAAAAAGAAAGAAAGCTTGGGATATTGCTCAGTGGTTAAGTACCACAGGGTTCCATCCTGGTACAAACAAACAAAAAAACGATGGTTCTGATGATTCTTAATCCTTATGCTTATTCAAATACAGTCTTTTGCTTAATCTATATGTTGCAAATATCTTCCCACTTTGCCATGTGTATTTAAATTTTGCTTTATGAGGTTTTTTTGTTTTGTTTTTTACTTTATAGAGATTTTATGTATGTAAACTAGTCAAATTTTGTATTTAATCTTGATTTTGGTAACATGCTTAGAAAGTCTCTTCAAAATTAGAAACATGGCCATACCCAATGGTACACATCTGTAATCCCAGCTACTCTGGAGGCTGAGACAGGAGGATCACAAGTTTGAGGTTAGCCTGGGTAACTTAGTGAGACCCTGTCTCCCAAACTAAAAAATATAAAGGATTGGGGAATGATCTTAGTGATAGCATGCTTGAGGCCCCAGTTTCAATCTCCAGCACTAAAAAAAATAAAAAGAAAGAAATTATAAGCATAATTTTTTAGCATATGACTTAAATTTACATTTGAATATTTTAATTTGATTTTTAAAAAGGAATAGGTGGGTATTGTGTTGCACACCTGTAATCTCAGTAACTCAGGAGGCTGAGGCAAAAGGATCACAAATTCAAGGACAGGCTTAGCAACTTAGACCCTGTTTCAAAATAAAAAACAAAAAGTACTAGGTATGTAGCTCAGTGGTAAAGCACCCTGGGTTAAATCATATATATATAGATAGATTACACCATGAGTAAGGCCTTAGGTTCAGTCCCCATCCTCGACCTCCAGTAAAAGGTAGGAAGGAATTGTTTTTTCTTTCTTTACAGTGGTGAGCTAATTTAGCAGTCCTTATGAAGTAGTCAATCCTTTCCCCATCCATATGAAATGCCACTTTATCATATACTTTATGTACTTAGGTCTTAACAGTCCTGATATAAAACCTCTTTAGTCATCTGGGGTTTTTGTTTGTTTGTTTGTTGTTTTAAAGAAAGCCTTCTTTTTTCGGTGGACACAACATCTTTATTTTTATTTTATGTGGTGCTGAGGATCGAACCTAGAGCCCCAGGCATGCCAGCTGAGAGCGCTACCGCTTGAGCCACATCCCCAGCCCCAGTCATCTGTTTTTAATACCCTGCTAGATTCAGTTTACAAAGATGTTATACATATAGTTAAAATAGTTCTGCATGGCCAGGCACAGTGGTTGTGCCTGCAATTCCATCTTCTCAGGAGACAGAGGTAGAAGATAAGGATTGCAAGTTTGAAGCCACCTTGGGAACCCTGTAAGAACCTATCTCAAAAATGAAACAAAAAAGACTGAGGATGTAGCTCAATGGTAGAATACCGCTGTATTCTATCCCAGGTTCTGCAAAAAAAAAAAAAAAAAAAAGTTTTGTTTTTTTGTTCATAAGTAGATTGATCTATGGGATTATGTCTGCTTTGGGCAAATTTTTTGTTTGTTTTGTTTTGTTGGTGCTGGATTGAACCCAGAGGTACTCTACCATTGAGCTACACCCCAACCCTTTTTATTATTATATTTTTTTAGTATCAGGGATTGAACTCCGAGCACTTGACCACTGAGCCACATCCCCAGCCCTATATTGTATTTTATTTAGAGATAGGGTCTCATTGAGTTGCTTAGCACCTTGCCATTGCTGAGACTGGCTTTGAACTCACGATTCTCCTGTGTCAGCCTCCTGGGCCGCTGTGCCCAGATCCCCTTTTATTTTTTATATTGAGATGGTCTCATTAATTTTCTTAGGATCTTGCTAAATTGCTGAGGATGGCCTCAAACTTGTGATCCTCCTTCATCAGCCTCCAGAGTTGCTAGGATTACAGACATGTGCCAATTCCCCCAGCTTCAGCTATTTTTTTTTCTTTTTTTGTACCAGGAATTAAACCCAGAGGCACTTAACCACTGAGCCACATCTCCAGCCATTTTTATATATATATATATTTTATTTAGAGACAGAGTCTCATTGAGTTGCTTAGGGCCTTACTAAACTGCTGAGGTTGGCTTTGAACTCGAAATCCTCCTGCCTCAGCCTCCTGAGTGTCTGGGATTATAAATTGTGATACTGGGCCTGGCTGCTTATTAATCTTTAATAAAATTTTTAAAAATATTTTTAGTTACAGGGCTGGGGATATAGCTCAGTTAGTAGAGTGCTTGCCTCACATGCATAAGGCCCTGGGTTTAATCCCCAGCACCACAAGAAATATATACATACACACACACACACACACACACACACACAGAGTAGATGGACCCAATACCTTTATTTTAATTATTTTTAAATGTGGTGGTGAGGATCGAACCCAGTGCCCCATAAGATTTTTAAAACAATATTATTTCCTCCTGCTTTAAAGATATGAAACTCTGGATAATTTATTTTGGCAGAGGAGATAATATCAGAAGAATTCTTCTGCAAAGCAAAAAAGCTTCAAAATCAGGTATGGTGACACAGCCTCTCATCTAAGCAATCTGGAGCCTGAAGCAGAAGGATAGCAAATTTGAGGCAAGCCAAAAAAAAGACTTGGGAAATAGGGTGGTTCAAATATGATCTTGGGGAGACACTTGAAGAACACTATTAAACTTGAACACTCTAATTCTAGCGTACAGTGAGGAAGAAAGGAAAACATTGAGTGATACTATTTATTATGTGGATGTTGAATACATTAATTATTCACTATTGCCTGAGACAGGATTTGCTTTTTTTTTTTTAAAGGAATCTAACAGGATTCTAATAGAGTTCAGGAGTTTCTTGTAGAATGGATTCTCCAGTGGTCCAGTTCTAGATTTAAGAAAAACCTGTGGAAAAACAGATAGTTGACCCTGTACCTGTGGGATTAAGTGAGAGAGAATTTAAGGATACATGGAAATATAACTTATTCCTGCTTTAGAGGGAAGACAGTGATCATGGAGGTGAGGGTCATCTATCACACTCCAGATTTACAATTAAGGACTAGGAACATTTTCCTAGTTTACTTCTTTTCAAAATTAGCATTTGTGGGCTGGGGTTGTAGCTCAGTGGTACAGTGCTTGCCTAGCATATATGAGGCAATGGGTTCAATCTTCAGCACCACATAAAAATAAACAAAAGTATATTTTTTTAAAAAGGGCCACTCTGCCATTAAAAAAAAACTTCCTAAAAATATTATCACTTGTATAACGGGTCTTTCAAGTAACAATGATGATTTGCTGTATGTTTGAAAGAAAGCATTTTGCACTTATGCTTGGTGCTTTGGACTAAACCAAGTTTTTACAATATGTTCACTGGGTTTTCTAATGTATTTTTTTTAACTTTCTACTTTTATTTTTCCCTCATAGGGTTGGGAATTTAACCCAGGGCCTCAGATGGGCTAGTCAAGCACTTTACCAATAAACTATACCCTAAGTCCTTCAAATGTTGTTTAACCAAATTTCATCTTTTCAGACCTGCTCATTCAGGTTACATAACTGTACCACAAATCACAGTAACCAGCATCATAACCTTTGAGGACAGGAGCTAGTGTATGTTGTTTAGCTTTTTATCTGTAGAGTATATTTACCTTTACATTTTATTTCAGTAGCATTACCAAGCATACTACAAAAGTTGTGCTGAATGAGATCAGTGAAAGGGGTATGGATTATGTAAATAAGCACAATGACTGCTGGTCATTCTTATCACAGGCCTGTATTTTCCAAGATGTTGCCATATCCAGATGCACAATATTTGCTGCGTGGTTACTCCATTTTGGAATCTTTTCATTTTGGAATTATGGGATTGTCAGGCCTCTTTCTTATCTGGCAGATGAGATGCTGATGCCGCAGGTTACTGGTGACAAGTCCTGCTTCCCCAAATGTTGAAGTTTGAACAGTAGAGAAGCACGCCAAAGCAAGCATAAAAACCGGGTTTATTTAAAAAGGGGTAGTATAGACTTCTCCAGGGAGGGAGAAGAGGGGGCATAGCTAGTATCCTGGTATCCCCAGAAGTGAGGTATTCTGCCCTTTTTATATGTCCTAGGATTCCTTTGTTCTCCTGCTTTTCCCCCTTTCTCCTTCCTGCATAGGTGACTAGGCCCAGTAATGCTCGGTGGGAAGGCCAAAAGGTGGGAAACAGGTGGGTTAAAGGGGGAAGGGCAGGGTGGAGTAGCCAAGGACACATTAACAACCTATATCTCCCTGTAGGGAGGGAAATTCCTGAGACAGGTTACTTTGGCAACAGGTTGGAGCAGGAGCAGGTTCTTGATAAGATCCCTCAGGGGTCCCTTATCTCCAACTTCCCAGACTCACTCAAAATTGGCCTCCTTGATCCAACCTGACTCAATTTACCTATCTACACTGACTGCCTGTCTAATTCTGGCTTCAATACCATGATCACAAAGGTGGTTTTCCCATGTGAGGCTCATCCATTGCACTTTGGATGTGCTAACTCCTGTGATTTCCCCAAGTGTGAGAAACTCAACTGCATAATTTGTGGTAGTGGGGGATTGCTTTCATACTTTCCCCTGACTTGATTTGTTCAAATAATAAATATCTGATTGCAGCCTTTTTCAGGTCAGACATAGTATTTATGAACACTTACAGTTTTTTTATGTGTTTGTATTAATTTTTCTTGTTATTAGCAGTGGTTTAGGTTAATTTAATACAGCTATTTTCTCCTGGAGTTATAGTTTGTGAAGTAGCAGGAATATGGGGATAGCATGAATAATAATTATTATTTTTTTGTAGTTGTAGACAGACACAATACCTTTATTTTAGTCATTTTTGTGTGGTGCTGAGGATGGAACCTAGGGCCTCATATGTGAGGGGCAGGCGCTCTACCACTGAGCTACAGCCCCAGCCCCCTATTTTGTATTTTATTTGGAGACATGGTCTCACTGAGTTGCTTAGCACCTTGCTGTTGCTGAGGCAAGGCACATGCTACATTTCTTAGTTTTGTGCTACCTTCATCCCAATTTCCAAACTGCTCCACAATTCAGCATTGTTTTTCTTTTGTAATACTGAACCCTGAGTTCAATTTTCTGTACTGGAGAAAAATAAAGCAAAACAAAACACCCTAAAATTGAGCTAAATCCTCAGCCCACTTTTTTGTTGTTTTGTTTTGTGATACATTCTTACTAAACTGCCAGACTGGCCTTGAATTTGCAATCCTCCTGCCTCATCCTCCTGAGCTCCCAGGATTACAGGCATGCTCCACTGCTCTTACATCTTTATGCAAATTATGTGATTATTTTAGGCACACCTGATAATCTCTGTATCTCAAATCCTTACATCAGCAGTACCCTTTAGGTGGAAAGTAACATTTACAGGTTCCAGGGATTAGGTTTTGGACATTTTTGTGGGCTGTCATTTTGCCTACCACATCAACAAAAGCCTCAGATTTGTCAGAAGTTTTTTACATCATCAAAAGGGGCTTGGTATATGCAGATGACCGCAGTGCCTTCTGGACTTGTTCATCTATATATATTTTTGAGTTTTTTGTAAATAAATATAGTAATCAAACTGTTATTGTTTGGTTCCTACAATTTGGAGAAGTCGTTATATTGAAAGTGATGGGCTAGAGTTTGCGCAAAGATAGTGACCCTTTGCGAAAAGTGTCTGGAGTCTGAGGGTGTGATGCCAGGCAACCATCCCAACTCATACTTACCTGGCAGGGGAGATACCATGATCGTGGAGGTAGTTTTCCCAGTGTGAGGCTCATCCATTGTACTCTTGTGTGGGTTGACCCCTGCGATTTCCCCTAATGCGGGAAACTTGACTGCATAATTTGTGATAGTGGGGGACTGCATTCGCGCTCTCCCCTGCATTGGTTGTTGGCTCAATGTGAGACTTGTGCAATAGTTTTGTGTAGTACTCCTATGTAGCCATAACAAAATGTGTTTATTTTTCATGTGTTTGGCGGGTTCTGTGTTATTGACTAGGCTGTAGCAGCAAATACCCCTGAACAAAGAGTTTAGTGTTTTTTCGCTAGTACAGCCCTATAATAATGTGGTAACTATCTTGAAGGCCTTTTAAGTAACTATTTGAAATTTTGTTTTCCAAGAAGTGTTTGTTTTTCTCAAGTGCTTTTGCCCAAATATAGAAGTAAAATTGATTTGCACTAATTAACTTGTTTCCTGTGATAACTAAATTCAGTTGTGAATTTTCTTAAAATAACTTATTTATTGATTTTTATGTGGTGCTGAGGGTTTAATCCAGTGCCTCACACATGCTAGGCAAGCGCTCTACCGCTGAGCTATAGCCACAGCCCAAATTGTGTTAGACCATATATATACACATATATATAACATATATGCTATTATATATGTTTTTATTATATATATATATATATATATATATATATATATATATATATATTTTTTTTTTTTTTTTAGTTGTAAATGGACACAATACCATTTTTGTGTGTGTGTGGTGCCGGGGGTCGAACCAAGTACCTCACACATGTTAAGCAAACGCTCTGCCACTGAGCCACAACCATCAGCCCCTCATATAGTTTTAATTTAGGCTCTTTAAGATGGGGATTTAATGGTTAAGAGAGATACAGGATGGAAATAAAGATTGTATTACTGGACTGGTGGTAGAGCACTTGCCTAACACATGTTAGACACTGAGTTCAATCCTCAGCACCACATAAAAATAAATAAAATAAAGGTATTGTGTCCATCTACAACTAAAGACATTTTTAAAGGAAAAAAAAAAAAAGATTCTATTACTCACAAGCCCAGGGAGACCAGGGCATGCCTGAGAGCATACAGAAGTGGGTCAGTGGAGGAGGAAGAGAAAACAGGGACCCACGGACCAAAGCTATTATTGGGGTTCAAGGCAGCTTTCGTATAGGGATGCTAATTGGTAGGTTTAAAGTAAGAAGGCATGCTGGGTGCTGTGGCACACGCCTCTAATACCAGCAGCTTGGGAGGCTGAGGCAGGAAGATCGAGAGTTCAAAGTCAGCCTCAGCAACTTAGTGAGGTACCAAGCAACTCATTGAGACGCTATCTGTAAATAAAATACAGAATAGGGCTGGGGATGTAGCTCAGTGGTCAAGTGTCCCTGAGTTCATTCCCCGGAACCCATAAATAAATAAATAAAGTAAGCAGGCATGAATGAACTTCAGGAAGTTATATTACTGTGAGAGTCATTGGAGACAGTCAACTAGGCTGTACCTAGATGTCCCATTGAGAAATGTCACCAGGAGGCAAATGTATAAAATAGATATCTGGATAGACTACATCAAGAAACTGGGAGGAGGTATAGAAATAGAAATTATATCAAGAGCAACTAAATCCTGCTTCTTATTTGAGAAAGTTAAATTTATATTCAAAATGTATGCTAAGGTCAATTGCGTGACCAGCACGCTAGCTTCATACAAGGTTCGAAACATAGAAATTAACTAGTGAGTTCAAATTAAAGACACATAACTCTCAAATTACCTTTTTCTTGCCCAGCTCAGAGATGGCTC